TGAAAATAAGCTGCTTTAAAGTCACCATCAAACATAAACTAAATCTGCCATAATGCAGCTACTCACTAGAAACTCGGTGAGTAAAACTTTTTTTTGTTTTACTTTTAATAATATTTCTGTGTTTTTTATATATTTAGTCAGTCATACACTTAGTTCTTATCAGTGTTTAAAAGAGGACGTGTTAAAACTCTGTTTAGTCGAAGTTAAACATGAAATATCAAAGTTCATTACAAGTGGCCCTTCGAGGGCCACCATAACRCTCACGTGGCCCTCAGTGAAAATGAGTTTTGACACCCCTGCTCTAAAGAGAAGGCAGGCTGCCGCGACACAGTCACCTGTGTGTGTGTGTTTTTTTAACCCTTTCAAAACTCTACTTCCTACCAGCGGGTCTAAGAATCAAACGTCCAATTCAACACAAAAAGGATGATTCATATATTGAGTTGAATGAAGAATCTGTCTCTAAAATAGTTATGAAAGAGTTTATTTATGCAGTTTAAAATATGTTTAACAACHTGCAAATACACCAGAATGCAGGAAACGCCACACACACACGCACACACACTGTATCTAGTTTACTTAAACATTTCATTGTCATTCGACCCAACATTTCTTCCTTCAACACGTTGGAATAATTGGCCTGTAGCTGAAGATTACGAAGCATACCTGTTTTTTATAACGACTAATAAAAACATGAGATTGTGGCGGGAGTTTCATGGGAACAGATTGAATGTGACATGTTTGGCTGCTGATGAAAGAGTCCAGTGTTCAGAGCCCACCCTGAGGATTATATGTCCCCAGGTTCAGATGTTGACCCAAGTRGCTCACATGACACTGCTGCTCCTTACATAACTACGAGTTTTCAAGCTGCTGACTTTTATTTAGAATCGTTGGTGAACAGCTATGAGCAATAAAAAAAATTCTTACCAATATACGCTGGCGTGGCAGGAAAAGATACTAAAAATGGGCTTCACGTCAACATATTTGAGGAGTTCAGCTGTTGTTGGGAGTCAACACGTAGGTGAGCCTTTTGGTGAAATAAATTTCCAAATGTTTCAAGCGAGTTTCCTCATTGAGGGAGCAGCCAAAAGATCAGCAATGTGAAGATGCTAATGCAAGCCGGGCTTACTAAGATAAATAAGCCTTGTTTGTCTTAGTTTACATAAAATTAATTTTAGTTTTACTTATTCAAAAAAAAAAAAAAGCTCCAACTCTAAAGGCTTTATAAATTTTTGGAGYAGGAGTATTGTATCTGGATTAACTTACTTGGTGCAAACTCATCAAGAGTTTTCTTGTTCTTTTGAGGCGCTATTTCCGATTTTGTGCATCTGATTGACTCAACAAGCAAAGGGATACATGCGCCCGACACTTCGGCATCAACAAAACAGCGTTTCCATGTTCAGTTTGCCTACATTTAAAAGAGTTGCTTTGCATGTATTCACAAGAGGGAAATGCTCACGTTTACAGTTTGATTCTCACAGCTCAGATTGCAACATCTGTAAAAACTTAAGTGTGTAAAATCCTGTTGTTGCTCTTTTAAATTCTGAATCCAAAGGGTCTGTGCACCATTTGTTCAGTCTTTTTAATTATTTATTTATTTTTTTAATTGAGAAATGGAAATTTTCTAACTTTGGAGGGCTTTTACTTTGAAATTCTACATCAGATGTGACTCAAACTTCTACAGTGACCCTGAAAGCCT